TTCCCTGCTCTGTTCCCTGCCACTATGAACTAAGCCACACCTTTCCACCATGATGTTTCTTCTTTGGAGTCAAAAGAAAAGCTTCAAGGCCTGGATACTTCTGTGTGCTATTTGTTATAAACAGGGCACGCGAGGCTACTCAGAGATAGGCTTTGAGAAAAAAGAAGGTTTATTCCAGTGAACAGAAACTGTAATCAGGGGCACATTTCAGCAGCTAGCTGGGAAGAGCTGAATTTATTATATCTGCATGTGGATGGGCTGAAATTGAGAGAGAAATATCAGCAACTAGCTGGGTGAGATTTTATCTGTGGGTGTATGGGCTAACATTGAGAGAGAAGTATCAGCAGTTAACAGGGAAGGGAATGAGGCTTATATAGTGCTTGAAAAGGGAGCTATGATCCCAAGAAATGTTTATGATTGGGGGTCCAAGAATGGTCAGCACAAGGGTGCAATCACTGGACTTCCTGGCTCTGAGAAGATTGTATATTCTGTCCTAATTTTTCTTTATGGCCATTTTGTTTACTGAGAATAGCTTTTTGCTTGTTGAGAGTGGCCTGTTTGCTTTGCAAAGGTCTCATTCAGGCCAGGCATGACACTATTAAGTGCTATTACTACTCTGAGTCATGTGTAAATAATTCTACTTCAAATTTTTAAAATTCCCTATCACATTTTTTATGAGTTAATAGTCAAAGCACTTTACAATAATAGCTAACATCTGTTGGAGATTTTTAGGTGCCAGTTTTTATGCTATGTTACCTTTTTATATCATTAAATCTTTATAAAAAGATATGATATTATTATTACCTCCTTTTTATAAAGAGAACACAAAAAAATTAGAGACTGAGTAAATATCTTACTGTTTTCATTAAGGGAAGTTAGAATAATCTTAAGAAACTCAAGTCATGAAACAGTTTAGAAGGTAGATTTCCTGTCCCAGAGCAGTGAGCCAAAACAAATTAAATTGACAGAGAATCTGCAACTGGAAGTCTGGATTTGGACTAAACATAACCAGTAGTAACAGCCCATATTAAAATAAACAAAAGTTCATTAAATTCACAGTTAAAACCAGAATTAATATTTTAGATTTCATTACAAGAAAAGTAAGACAAAATTAGGATGAAAAGAAAATCTGCCATCTCCGATTGTGTTTCCATTGGTGTCATATGGCTATATCGAAATTTAAATTAGGGAGAAGTTTGGATTATGAGGAGTCTGCTAACTGGAGCTTTTTTCCAGATCATTATTTGTTTAGTGTTGGTTTGGGGATCTTTCTGAAACAAATCACATCCTCTGGTGTCTTGTTGGTGCTTGAGACACTTTTTTAAGTTATATGGAAAAATGTTTAAGTGCTTTTCAGCTTTGTTTTGGTTGAATTTTACTGTATTTGAATATTATGGTAGTTTTTTTTCCCCTTCCATTGTTCTTCTTTGAATGGTTTTAATTTTTTGTATGTGTGTGTGTTTGATAGTAAAGTTATTTTAAAAATTAAAAAAAAAAAGAGATGTACCCGGGGAACTTTTAAGGTGAAGAAATTGACCTGCATTGCAACATAGAGATGGATACACGTCTGTTTCTATATATACATATTTCTATGTATTTTTCAAAATCCATAAAAATTAACCATTATTTGAATGTGAGCAATTCAGTGGCTTTTAGTATAGTCACAATGCTGTACAATGCTGTATCCAAAACATTTGACATCTTTAACCCCACTCCAGAAAAAATAATCACTCTCCATCTCTCCACTTCTTCCTTTAGCCCAGGCACCTCTAGTCTGCTTTCTTTCTCTATGAATTTACCATTTTGGATGTTCCACATACATGTGGTCACATGCTAAGTGATCTTTTTGTCTGGCCACTTTTACTTAGCATAAAGCTTTCAAAGCTCATCCATGTTGTGGCATGTATCAGTACTTTTTATGAGAAAATAATATTTCTTTGTATGGATTATATCACATTTTGTTTATATCACATTCATTCATCAAGTAATAGACATTTGGGTTGTTTACATTTTGTGACTATTGTGAATAATAAATATTAGGAGAATTTGTGTACAATATTTGCTTAAATATCTGCTTTCAAAATTCTTTCAAATATATGTTTAGGAATGGAATTGTTGGATCATTCTATGTTTAACTTTTTGAGAAACTACAAAACTATTTTCCATAATGCCTGTACCATTTTTTATTTTTTTTATTAGTACATATATTTGCAGTACATAATGATTACATTCATCAAGGGGTGTACATGTATATAATACATCTTAATTCTTTTTATTTCTCCTTCCCTACCCCTCCCCCATTTTATATTTCTACCATCAATATATGAGGGGAAAAAAAAAGAAAATCTGGCAACCAGGATCCCAGATCAGGTAGTTTTACAAACTGGCTGTTTGAGTTTGTTGAGTGATTTATTCTTTCCAAGGTTCAACTCTTCACAAGGGTGTTAGACTATGTCATTTCCTAGGTTATTGTGCTAGGATAAGAGTAGAAGAGTAATTTTTGAGAATGACTGTACAAAAACTCACTGGTAATATGCAAAGTAAAAAATTTAAAAATTATATTTATAGGTTCCACTGACTCAGGTTTCTGAATCACTCATCTAACATTTTGTAAACACCTACTATGTGTCAGGAATTGCAGCAATTAGTGTTCTAGCAGTGAACAAAATGAAGTCTTCATTTTCCTAGCTCATGTTCTAGTGATGGAAATCAGAAAGTAGACATACAATATATTCTATCTCACACGGTGATAAGTGCCATCTGCCAAAGAATAAGCAAAGGAAATTGATGGTGAAGGGAAACATTCCATTCTTGGTGTCTCCTTTTCTCTTCCTTAAATACACCAGGCTCACTCTCAAATTGATACCAGCTAGCTCATCTACCTAGGTGTCTCATTTGCCTCCCCCAAGTATCTTCAAGGTTAACTCTCTTCTTCCCCATGAGGCTCAATGTACAGGAAATCCCACCTACTCCTATTCTGCTTTCTACTGTTATTTTCTTCCCCATAGGTATTATCTCCTTCTAACATATAATATAAATTGTTTATTTCTGTGTTTAATGTCTTTCTAAAATGTAAGTTCTAAAAAAGCAGGGGGATTTGTTTTGTTCAGGGATATATTATAAAGTCTAGACAGTGCCTGATAAGAGGTAATATTCAATACATAGACTAATGAACAAATTGGTCAATGAATGAATGAATGAATTGAGGGGTGGTGATCTGGAAAGTCTTTTCTGAGGAAGTGAAAATAGTAAGTTTTGACATTTAAAAAAATACAGGAAATTTTTAATTTAAATTATGGTACATCCAGTTCATAAACTATTATGTGGCTTTAAAATGACTTTTAAATGACATCTGTGGCTATTAAAAATAATATGAAAATTACTTAAATCGAGTGAAAACTGCAGGATACAAAAATATGCATATGTTATTACAATGATATAAAAAAGTCCTTAGAAAAAATGTTAGAAATACACCAATATTTATCAGTTTATATTACAGTTTTA